AGAGAGAGAGAGAGAGAGAGAGAGAGAGAGAGAGAGAGAGAGAGAGAGAGAGAGAGAGAGAGAGAGAGAGAGAGAGAGAGATTTCCCCCGTAGGTGGCCCTATGCACTTCCTTTTGGGATCCCTGTGAACCCACCTTCTGTACAAGTCAATGTTACCTGGAATGGCATTATAATCATAGTTTTGTTGACGGGAGGTTTCTCGCCAATAAATTGGAGCGATTCCCCTGCACAAACATGTTTCTTCAAAAAGAAAAACAGATAAGACAGAAGGAATGGATGGGATATTGTAATTGTAATGTTCTAAAATCAAAAACATTTCCACCTAGGTTATATGGTGCCTGGAAAACTTTTGTGTGTGGCATCGTAACCCCATCCCACATAAAAAATATTTCACGTGTAACACTGCATCGTAACCCCATCCCACATAAAAAATCTTTCACGTGTAACGCTGCCCTTCCTGAGGCAATGCCAAGCGGAGAGCTGCTGCATAAATGCCACCACCCTGATGCTCCTTCATTTTGTGTGTGTGAGAGAGAAATGGAGGAAGCGTGTCCTCCCCCCCCCCCCCATAGCAGACAGAAGGGTAGGCAGGTGGGAAAAATTGACTAAAGGAAATCAAATGCGTGTAAGTTCAATCGGAGCACACCTCTGAATCTCTCCTCCAGAGCTCGGAGATCCTGAAAACGTAGACAGAGATCAAAATCTGCATCATTCTGGCAAGCTATGGAAGCTTCTCCATGCTCATCATATATGCTAACAAGAACAGATTTCAAACTATCACAGGACTTCAAAATCTCTGAAAGGAACATGACGAGGCGGCATAGCAATGCACGGAGGCAAGAGAACTCCCCATCGATCTGGACTCCTCGAATACGAGGAAGAACCGTTGGCCAGGTGATCAGGCAACCATCTGGTCCTTGTCCTAGATTGAGAGAGAGAAAGGATTCCACAGACACCCCTCCAAGCTCCAACCACTTCAGGTTCTGAAAAGACAACCCATTTGCAAACAGATCACTCCGCGCACCTGGTTTTGGTCCATTGCCTGCGCCTGGCAGGGCTGCAGTGAAAGCACTGGCTGAACTGCTGCAGCTTACAGTCGTCCCAGTGCTCAAACTCTGAAAAGCGACGGAGAGCTCATTCACCGAATCTGTTGTCGATCCCGATGGCCGATAACCCGAACCTTGACCGCTACTTGCGTAGAAGTCCCGGATGACTAGCGTCGTCAGGGGCTGAAAGAGATTGCTTCTCAATATGCTTCGCAAAGTCTCCCCATCCCACCCAAAATTGATATATTCGTCGTAACCAATCAGGCACAGGCAATCCACCAACACACCGGGAGGGAAACAGAGGTGCGGGCCACCCGCCATCTCGAGTTTTCGAAGGCAGGATTCCCCTTTGATGATGATTCTCTGAGCCCCTCGCACAGTAAGATCGATCAACGAGGGAGCATTGAGACTGATTGTTTTCGGATGCGCCGCATCAAATTTACCAAAGTTCACAGAAAGGACCTCCAACATCGGAAGCTTTTCGATCTCGATTGCGATGGGGGCGTCACAGTTTTCACACCGTAGCGCCAAGTGCAGTTCCTGAAGACCAGGGCAGAATGAAACGAAGTCGATTACGTCTTCCACATTCGAGGAATTATCGACGCGCAGCTGTATTGACAACCTTTGAAGCGTAGAACTTATCGTGCGACCATCACCACTACCAGCTGCCATCACCGCCGTGTGTACATCCACAGGATTGAATGCCTTGTAATGCGCATCGAGATTCTTCAGAGAAGTGCAGTGTGTGAAGATACAGTTCAGCAAGCACGCAGTTGTTTCCTGTGAGCAGCCTATGATATCCATGCCGTACAGTTTGAGTTCTTGGAGTGACGGGCCCACGTGCTCCAGGCATTGCTGGAGAAAGGCAGTCGTGAAGTCCATCCCACTCAAATGCAGACTGCGCAAATCATGCATCTTCCTGACGACATCAATCACGACACTGGAAAAGGCTCTCCCGCCATCGCCCATCTGCACTCCCAACGTCCGGATATTGAAAGACAGCTCCTGCACCTCCCAGACCAGCTCTGAAAATCTCTTGGACACCAGAGCACATCGGACGAGATCTCGCACATTCAGCTTACTCAAGATCTTCGTCAGCAAGAACTCAGGAAGCTGCTCAATGCTCCGAGCCGATGTAATCGTTGCCGTCTCCATCTTATCTTCTTGCCTGACAATACACTGCAGGGCACCAACCACCCACTTTCTCACCAACAACGCACTTCACCAAACGGACCAGAGATAGCCTGCCCCTTTCTTCACTCACCTTTTCAGCATTCCTATTTTTCCGATGCAGAAACCGCACCCAAAGGCAGCAGGAACTCTGTCAGCTTCACCGATTCGCCGTCCACAGAGGTGTGTGGATAAGAACAATGGTCTCCGGACAGCAGCGGACATTAGGCAGCAAGCAGCTCTCTTGAAAGAGGAACCATGTGCAAATGGTTGAGGGGCCTAATCTCCAAAAATGGTGGGCTATTCGCTCAGCTAAGGATGAACATACTACTCAACATCAGCGCACTGCATGAGAACTTCTTTCATAACTTCTTTCTCCAGAGCAGAACCTTGGCCAATGCGACAGAATGACAAATAGAAAAGACGAATTCTTGGAGCTCTACACTGGGGCGGAGCATGTCTTCGTATACCAGATATGTGAATGGTGCATCCAGGCCGCGAGGCACTGACCGGAACCCATCCACTTTCAGCGATGCCTTCCGAGGCAACACCTTCCACAGTAATCACATACACATCCCCCCCCTCCCAACAATGACCCTAAAGCTTCTACTCTCACGTTGTCAGCCTCCTCTCTGCAACAGTGCCAGCATAAAATATACAAAAAATCCCAATATCTGCTCCTGCTGATGTTCGCAAAAAAGTAGGCCCAGTCACAGCACAAGTGCGGTACTCAGAGCTCGTCAGGATGGTCCTGAACAGTGACCGGCTGGCAGGCATCGGCTGGTGTTCTTGATTCTGATGCATTGAATCCATGGTGGACAAACAAGATTCAGCAGCGGCAGAACCGTATCAGGAAATGGACAAGGAAGGACAAACAAATGAATCAGAGCCTACCGTCGTCAACCAAATAGAAGGTCTGGTCATTACACCTGGATTCGGGGCAACGTTTAGTCTAGATACAGTGATAATGACCAGGTGTTCTATTCCAGTGAAGACGGTAGTTCTTCTGCATGGTCAGCAGAAGCAGAAAGAAACTGTATCATCCAGAAGCACACACTATGCATTGGCAACGATGAGGAGATGTACTCGCAAGAAACGAAGCCGGAAAGGGAAACAGAAGAAGATATATAACATCTCAAAAGCGAAACAGACAACATTTCAGAAGTACACAGACCTTGAAAGGCAAAAGCAGCAAAAGATGCCCAACATTTGAGGAATAGAACTAAAAAAGGATAGCCAGAGGCAACACAGTCATTCCAATGGCAAGGCATCAGAAAAAAAACGGGCAAAGGCAGGACACACATGAATTACAATTCACACCCACATGGCTCATAGCCACAAATGGAAAGAAACACCTTCTGCAGACTAGCACCAAACATTCAAAGCCAAAACATAAGAAGGTGGAGGATGCTTACAAAACAGCATGAGGAAGCATGTGTGTGTGTGTGTGTGTGTGTGTGTGTGTGTGTGTGTGTGTGTGTGTGTGTGTGTGTGTGTGTGTGTGTGTGTGTGTGTGTGTGTGTGTGG